ACTATCGCCTGAAAATGTTAAACCACGGGGTGAGACAAACGCCTCAGTAACCAACTTTCCAACTCATCATACATATTAACATGTGCTCGTGAGGTGTCAAGTGGGATAATTATTAAATTTAATATATATATCAATGAAAATACAAATATGTATATTCAAATAATCTCAATCATCCAAATCCTCATTACGGGAGCTAACACACAAGCCACATAAGTCTATCCCTCACTATAGGGGATCAAACCGACCTATAGGCCTATCCCACACTTTGGGGGACGATTAAATAGTCACAAAGATCCATTCCTTATTACAGGCTATCCCACACTTTGGGGGACGAATAAAAAGCCACAAGGGTCTATCCCTTACTCTAGGAATGAAGGAAGAAGCCAACCAATGTGCACCAATGGCGGCCTTACCACGTGGTCGGATAGCACTCAATCCAAAATCCAAAATCCAAATAACAACCAACCATTCACAATATAACAAAAATATCTCAATCTTTTCCCAGTATAATCCATAAATATAAACCATATATCTTTTCCAAACTTCTCAATCACAATTCCAAAAATCCCACAAGACAATTTTCATAGCTCAAAAGATATAACTTCTCTACTCGAATTCCAAATAACAAATATTATTCAAAAATAACAAAATACTCATAAACAACATATTAGCACATATAACAAGTGGAAAGTGGTTACCTCTCGCCAAAGCAATACTAAGGATTACCACAAGGTCAATCCTTTGCTCAACCAATAATTAATCTACACAATTAATATAACCACATTTAATATAAATTAATTAATTAATTAATTAAACTTCTCTATATTATTTAAATTTCTAATTTAATTAAATTTTTACTCTAAATTCCCGCAACTCTCATAACTCAAAAATTATTAAGTATTTTAGAAACAACTTAAAATTTCTAACAACCCAAATTTATTTATTTACCACCTCCAAATTATTTACCTTAATAAAAAGGATTTTCCACAATTCTAAATATATAAAATTATTATTTTCTAAATTCTAAAAACTCTCTTTTTAAGTTTAAACCTCAAAATCAAACTCTTAAAAATTTAATAATACTTTAAATATTTATAACTAAATAATATAGTCAAAACTTTAATGGTATAACTACCATATATATATTTCTGTAAATAATAAACTATTTAGCTACAATAATTATTTTAAAACCTCCAGTCACCCAATAAATAAAACTAGACCGATTAAAATCTTAATAATATGTCAAACAATCCAAATAAATTGCTTAACTTGAATTTAATCGGTAAAAACATAATATAAATCATATATAACAGATTTTTCAACTAGAAAAATTAATTTAAATACTAAAAACTAACAAATGGACAAATCTAACTAATTAAAATTAACAACTCATTCACTTCTAAATTTCTATAGTCATCTTTTATCAAAACTCAATACTTATATATATATAAGTCTCAAAATTTTCTCCAATCACTATAGTAATAATGTAAATAGGAAGCTTAAAATATACAGGAAATATTTGTAAAGAAAGTTTGATGAAAGAAGGAATTTTATGTACCTAAAATATCTTCAAAACTCGTTCTTTCCTTCACCGGTAAGCTCCTTTCGCTCTTGCACACACACTAAGCTCTCTTTCTCTCTTTCTCTCCTGCGTAGCACGCACTCACGTTTTCAACTTCCCTCTCTTTCTTGTATTCTTCATTTCCCCAACTACCTTTCATTTTTTTCTTCCCTCATTAAATTCCTCTCCCCCATTTTCTTCCTTCCCTTTTCAACGTTTCAGCTTTCCACCGAATTCGATGGAAAGCTGTGACCTTTTTTTTAAAAAAAAATATATTAAAATATTATTATTTTATTATAATAATAAAATATTTTTTTATTTTTTTATTGAATTTTTTTATATTATAATAAAATATTATTATATATATTTTTACATAAATCCTAAAAATTAATTTAGGATATTACAATAATGGATAGAGGTGTTGACCCTTACCGCACTCAGACCATCAGCTGCATTGATGACGGCCATGATAAAAAAAATAGATGGGCCTAATTAAAAACAGGAGAAAATAAAAGGATATGAGAAAAAGAAAAATTTAACAGGGATCTAATTAAAAATCAGATAAAACTATAAGGACCTTAAGATTAATTATCCTTATTATTGGGAATTATTTATAGAATTAATTGTAATTCTAATTAATAGTGACAGGGTTGAAATAATTAATTTGAATTTTAATGAATCTGATACCATTCTAATATTCAGAAAAAATTGTTATATATTTAAAATGAAAAATTCAATATATTTTTTTCAATGAATTTTTCAATTTTTTTAAAATACCCATATTTAATTAGAAGTACATATAAGGGAAAGATTTGGATAACAACAACCTTCTTGATTTACTACTTACCCTCTGAAATATTTGAAGGAAAAAACTCAAAAGCAATACTTTCTTTAAAAAAATAATTATTACATTTTTATAAGAAATATTTATTTTTTTTCACTTTAATAGGATGTGTAGATTTATACTATGTTTGGGTGGAGAGAAAATAATGAAGAAAGAAAAACTAAAGAAGAAAATGAAAAAAGATTTTTTTTCCTATTTAGATGAGGGAAAAAAGTGTGAGGAACGAAAAGTGAAGGAGAAAATGATGTAGATCTCACACCTCATTTTCCTCCAAACTTTGCTCTCCACATACAAAGAGAAAATGAGGGAAAAAAACATTTTTCCTTTCTACCGCTATATCTGTTTTTTTAGTAAAATAATACCTATTTATTTTTTACTTCATTTATTATTTTCATGTCTTTCTCCTAAGTTTGTTTGATTGAACAGTAAAATAACTAAAATTGCAAAAATGCTTCTGAAATGAAGTTAAAGGGACAATAAGGAGAGATGTTGTTTTTTTTTTTTGCGTTAAACAAATACTATTTTTTCTTCTAAAAAAATAATTTTTTTATAAAACTATTTGATATTACAATATAATAACATGATAAAATATCTTTATCAAATAATATGATTTTAAATTATTTGATGATGTTAATGTTAATATGATTTTTCATTATAATATTTAATTTGATTTCAATCATGATACATTTTGATATAAGAGGAAAAGTATTTTAGTTATTCAATATTTACTCATTTTTTCCTTTCTATTTTTTCTTGTTTATCCATAGAAGAGAGGTGATCATATTTTTTTCTCTTTTCCCTATTTTCTCTCCTTCCATTTTCTTTCCTTCCAATTTTTTCCCCAGTCCAAACAGAGGGTTAGAGATGAAAAGAATATGAATTTATTAAAAAAATAAAATAATATATATAAAATGTTGAATCCCGATATTTTTAATCCTACTAATTACTATTTCTATCTAGAAATTTGTGGTTATATTTTCTCAAGAAAGATTTATTTTAGTATTTATTTAGAATATATGCCAGACTTTTTTCTTCTTCTTCTTTTTTTTTTTTGCTCCCTAATAAAAATTTTTAAACTTTGTCATTGCATGATTTATTGTTTCCTTGTAGTTTTCATTTTACTCACTAAACATTACGCTTCAGCCTCCTGGCAGAGGACAGGTAGTGGACCATAATAACAGAGGGCAGGAGGAAGGCCAGATCGAAATTTCCTTCAGCCTCCTACTCCCGCTCTCTAATCCTCATCGTCTCTATCCGGTTTGCTCCAATCTACTTTGACAGCTCTTCATTTTGTTGCAAAAGTCTTCCATTCTCGCCTCTTCTTCCACACATTACTCCAATAGGCATAATCACAATTTTTAGTTTGTTGGTATGTGCTCCGCGCCTCATTTTATGTGATTAAGATGTTGTGCGTTGCGAGCAACTCATCATGTATTCTTCAAAGTTGATAAAAAATACATGTTAAACAATGAATGCTCCAGCGTGTGGGGTATTTCTTGCAATAGGTATGGGTCTAACTATTTGACTGCTTATTTTGATTTTTTTTTGTCAATATCTTCTTGCTTGCCAACGATATGTTTTGGTATTTAAATTAGTGGGGTAAAATGTTGACCTTGATATGGTTTGGCTACTATTTGTATATTCCCAAGTCTGTGCCTTGTGATATTCTTCTGTGTTAAAATTGATAACTCTCAAGTTTTAATATATTTAAAGAGTATTTTGAGTGATTTTGGAGGATTATAATCAAGACACAGACCAGTCGAGACAGTAAGTCAAGAGTCATTAGGTTAGATCAAAGTCAACCAAGAGTCAAATGGGTGAAAAATAAAAAAATAAAAAAAACATTTAAATTTTCACCAAACCATCCCAGGATTAAATGTCAATTTAATACATTGAATTATTAATAAAATAATCATATACTTGTAATTTCTTGTCAACTTTTATGCAATGCCTTCCCTAAATTGAAATCATAATATCATATTACTAAAATTACTAGGTATTGATCCAAGCAAAATATCAAAATAGATAAATGATAATAAAATATGGAGAATTACAATAAGGTCTTAAGTAAGGAAAAAAAAATTACAAAACAAGTCTAAGAGGTTATTATTCTCTACTTTAGAACTTGTTATTATAGACTGCTTAGGTTGTTATTTGGACATTTTAGTAATTATTTTCCTTTCTTAGAACTTGATTGTAATTCTCCCAACAAAATATTCCTCCTCACAACCCTTCAATCACTAAATAAGAATTATCAACTACCTAAAAAAAGAAAAAAAAGGTCATCAAAATAGCATTTAAAAAAAAAAAAAAGAGACAACCAAATTAACCCACCAAATTAGTCAAGTTAATTGGGTTACTCTAGGTCATTTTGGTTTTTTTTTTTTTTTGCCTTATAGGGGACAACCAAACCGGCCAGTTGACTGGTTCACTGAGTTGAAAGATAGGGAGTAGTTTATTTCCTTTCTTTTTATTTTATTTTATCTGTCTTTTCTTTTCAGTTTTTCCTTTTATTTGTTCTCTCTTCTTTTCTTCCTTTCAGAAGTAGAACGCACCGTTTGGGGCTGATGGTTTTGAATCCTAAACACGAGTTACACGTGCTTCGGGAGGGGACGCAGCGTTTGATGGAGACCAAAGAAGGAAATCCGAAATCATCGAGTTGAGAGACAGGGAGCGCTGTTCATCGAAGAGGGGAGGCGGAAATTACTCAAATTAGTGTTCATCGATCATCTTCTTCGGCTTGAGTGGTTCAGGGAGCGAGAGAGACGGACGGGACTGGTTCGAGCTCTTTGTCTTCAACCTTCGAAGGCGAGTTTGCGTGGGAGGAGACGCCGTTGGGTTCTTCTTCTTCGCTGCAGAACGCGATCTCGACGGAGGAGAGTTTGGGAGAGAGTTCTACTGTTTTTGGTTCAGAATTAAGAGAGAGAAGGCGCGACTGGCTTGTTCATCTTCTTCTTCAAGTACGACGGCCTTGGGTGGAGGAGAAGCAGTGCTGGCGTGAAGATAGAAACCCGTCGAACTGAACCAGAGGAGCTTGAGGAAGAGAGATTTGCATCAGTGTTTTGTTCGCTTTCCTTTTCTCTTTATCCAGTATGATGTTTGATTTTGGAGTTAATGTTGTTGAGCTGAGATTGATCAAAGTCATGTGTGGCTAGTTTGCTTTGCAACCTAGAGGAACTATGAAGTTGTTTGTGATTTAGAGATTCTTCCCACTGTTTAGTTATCTTAATTTTAATTTGTTTTACTTAATCTTGTTTTTAATTCTAACTTGCTCAGTGCTTGGCACCAGTGAGCTTGTTTTGGGAATTTAGGATTGAACTTGATGAGGGGAATCTGAAATAGGCCTTGTGATTAAGTAATGTGGAATTGGATTTAAACTAATTTGCACCTTGGATAGACATATACCTAGAGGCTCCACATAATCAAGTTAGAGTGAAATTGGATTAATTTGCGCCTTGGATAATTGTGAGAGATTACATAATTAATTGAGATAGAGTTATAAGTTGATGATAGGCACTTTTAACTAGTAAGACTCTAGATTAACTAATTAAGTTTAAGTACAATTAATTCAGTAGGGATAATATCTAAGAAGCAAATAATTAATTTGTAACTCTGGGTTGTTCTTTTTTTGACGTTTGTATTTGTTAATTTCATAATTCTTGCATTGTTTAATTTGAATTTTATTTCACTTAATTCAAATTCAATCTTGACTTTTTCAACTCAAACAAAAAGAGGATTTTTATTGCCTAATCATTGGTTAACTGAGTTTTTCATGGAATCGATCTTGATATGCCACTATCTCTTTTCTTACTGCCTGTACACCGTTAATATTTGGTAGCATCAAGTTTTTGGCGCCGTTGCTAGGAAATATTAAGTTCTTGATTTGGTCACTTTTTGATTGAGACTAGTTTTGGACAGGTTTGAGATATACTGTATAGGCTTGTGTAAGCGTTTTATTTTGTTTCATTGGTTACGTTATTTTTCATAAATTCAAGTTCCAACCTTGATTGTGCTTCCTTTTGTAGATTGCGGGGAAAGAAGATGAAAGTCAAGGTCTTGCGTATCCTTGCAATGCTAGTCTTATTATTACTTTTTGTTGTGTTCATTGTTTCAGTTTTTATTTTTTTTCCGTTTTTGATTGTGAATTTTAGTAGTCTTATTTCCTCTCTGGGGTCTTATATAGTTGTGAGAGTGGTTTTACTCTACTTTTAGATTGGAATGTTGAAATTACAGTGCAGATATAGATAGTTCACTGTGGCTGGTGCTGCATGTAAATTGGGAATTTTAAATCTGTTTGAGGGAACCATGGGATTTGTAAAATGACCTCCTTTTAGAACTGAGATGCCAGATAATAGCTTATCACAAACTGCATCAGGAACTTTTAAACTGAGATTCCCATCTGATGCAGGCAACTATAAAGGTTTCAATGTAGTTAGTTTTAAAATTCTTATATTGGGTTGTAGCAGAATTTCCATGTTTTGAATTTACATGTTTGTTTTTGTGTTTAATTATGAAAAATTTTGTTGTAAGTATATCAAATGTTCTGCGGAATGTTTTGCTTGACTTAGTTTTCTGTCTGGATTTCCCCTGGGCTTCCAAAAAGAGTATGTTTTCTTTCTATCTTGAAGATCTGTTATGTAAAATTTTAGCTTTTAATTTGTCATATGTAGTTGCAATTTATATTTGCACGTAAATGCTAGGGACTATTAATTAATTATGGAAGCTCCTTGGCATATTTAACTGTTGATGGTTTTCCTGTCTTAAAATGTTCACATTCCTGCCCCTTGTGTTGATTATAGATGGCATGCTGTTGCGTCATGGACTTGGGACGCTCAGGATGAAACATGTGGGATTTGTAGGATGGCCTTTGATGGCTGTTGCCCAGACTGTAAACATCCTGGGGATGACTGCCCTTTGAGTAAGTTACAAATGATATCGCATATGGTTTTTATTACTTCTTCATACTCATGCTAAATAATTATGATTGAATTCTTTAAATTTGAATCTTCAGACCTGCAGCTGAGGCAATAGCCTTGATTGCTGGTTATTTGATTATCTGGGAGTCCACCTTCATCTTTTCCTACTTTGAATACAACTTGAAAAGAATTAGGGAAAATTACATACATGTTCCAAATAAGAAAGTAAATCACCCACAAGTCCCAACCGCTTGTAAATGGGACTAAGAAAATAATTAACTTCTTTATTTGGGACTTAATTTTGATTCTCCCCAAAAACTGTGTATAGATTAAAATGCTACTGACGTTCTCCTCCTCCTCAAACTTCACTCCACACAGCAGAAGCGCTTGTTAGTTGTTTTTCTATCTGCATCTCTCCTCTGTGTTAATATGTACTTGGTTTAGAGCATCAAAAGAAAAGGTATATACTTGGTTTAAAGTTGCCCTGGACTCTAGATCAGATAGGCAGTAGGTTGATTCATGATACTGGTGAGTAACAAGCTGCCAACTCGCCAATGTGGTTGAAAAGTAGGTTCCTGCCTGACCTATAGGACTTAACTTTGTGCTGTGGCTTTAGGTGTAGAGATACCTGTGGTGCAACGGAGCTATAGTCATTAGTCAAGTCCTTCTGAAAGGGCGTGACCTGCACACCTCCCGGTGTCAATCTTATCGAGAGTTTAAGTCTATTGCTGGTCTAGTGGTTCTATTGTTCAAGTCCTGTCATGACTGGATCCAGAATTTCAAAATTAATTAGTCTATTACTAATTGCTTGAACTTACTTTAAAGGAGCTTGTGATGGTTTTTCCTCAAGGTGTTGCTATCTCAGTGTTGCAGAAAGATTGGCCTGTTTTGTTGCACACTTGATGAATATGTATTATCTTTATTTTTTAGGTTCCTGTGGGGATGTCATCATGTTCTTCTTTTGTTCCTTAATTATTATTCTTTTTTTTGGGGGGGGGGGAATTTAACTGTTTCTTTTTACATCTTGCAGTTTGGGGAGCATGCAATCATGCTTTTCATTTGCACTGTATACTGAAATGGGTGAATTCTCAGACTTCGCAAGCTCATTG